TCGGAGTCACTTCCACCACTATTTCTTCTTCCCCCCTCACCACTTCTTAACCGCCGTGGGGGAGACAAGTCGGAGTCACTTCCACCACTACTTCTTCTTCCCCCCTGACCACGTCGCAACCGTCGCGGGGGAGACAAGTCGGAGTCACTTCCACTACGATTGCCCCTCACACCACCCTTTGGCTTAGCCGCCGTTGCGCCATGCCTAGAGAAATCACTACTTTGGGAATCCGCCCCAGACGATTCACCCTCTTTTTTGCTGCTTCCATTAGTAGATCCTCCTTTTTTCCCTCTCCGACTACATCTGTCGCTTCCCTTTCTCAACTTCTTAACACTCGCCTTACATACCTCTTCGCTCTTTTCATTAATCAACTTGTCTCTTGTAAGTTCTCCCTTCAAACTTTGAAGAATTTTTTTTTTGCTTTCTATTGACATATGTACAATTTCTGTGTTATTATCTCCCGTGACGGTTATGGGGATGTCGGAACTTTCGTCTGACTCCTCCACCACAAAAGGATCATCTTCCAAAGGAGCATCTCCTATGTGTGAATGGACTCTCCTCTCTTCTTCTTCACTATCATATATCTTTACACTACTCCTTTTATTCCGCTTATCCTTTTTGGGCTCCTTGCCCAAGTACCTCTTCCGCAAATATTCTTCCATTGCTCATACCCCCTCATGTGGATGCGCTCCCCTACTACGGAAAGCAGCGCCTATGCAATTACACCTTCGCAAAAAAAAATGTGCAACAGTTGTTAAATATAAACGTGTGTCACTTGGGATGGGGGAAAACAATTTCTTTTTTTTTTTTCTGACCAAATGGAGAGAGTTATATGGCTGCCCTGCGCAGAGAAAAGAATGTCCACTCCATTTTAGAGCTATCCTTTAAAATTGAAAAATGGGGAGCAGAGTCTATGGATGGTAGGAGGGAGAAGCTACTTGCTAAGCTATGCCCCTCTCTCGCTCTCCTTTATTTGTTGTCTGTACGCCAATTTTAAATTTCACCAACAATGTAAATGTTTAGGCCTCCTTTTTACTTTTTACGTGTCGGTGGCTTCTCTCTACCCCACTCGTACACTGTAGTTTATCCCAATCTGATTACTAACTGTTATGGCTAATTTTTTTTTTTTTTTTTTTTCTCCCTTTTTGGGATCCCTAACTGGGAAATAAAGGGAAAAAAAAAAAAAAAAAAAAAAAAAAAGCTATAGGGAGGGGAATACCCAAATAGCTAGTTTCATTCTTGCGTGTTGCTCAGCAGTGCAGCGACGGCAAAAAAAAAAGGAAGCAACAAAGTACATATCGAGGTAACCATAAACCCAGCTGCTCAAGAGGGACGGACAAAATTGCCCTCAGGACGACCCCGCTTCGCGTCCTCCAAATGGTACTACAAAGAAGGGGGGAAATGAATTATTCTTTTGTATTTATTTTTTTTTGTTCCCATTCAGCAACGTAGCAACGGAGTTTAAGTTCCCCCCACATGGCAAAATCACTGTTCGCACATTTTGCCAATCCGAACGGGTAAGGCAAATAAATTCAGGCCAGCACACATAGGCAGAGTGCGGCGATGACGTTGCCCTGTGTGCCCAAGAGCCACTACCCCTAACTTGGTATACAAAAAAAAAAGTGACAAAAGAAAAAAAAAGGACTGCATAACAATCCCTCTCCCTCCGACAAAAAACAATATGTTCTCCACTTCGCCTGTGTAACACGTGAGGAGGAACACACATGGATGGATGATGTAGGTTTCGCAAAAGCTGTTTAGAGAGGACCCAAAAAAATGGCAAAAATAAAATTCAACAGACAAAGCTGCCGCCAACACGCATTAGCATACTTCAGATTGTTCTCACATGTAAAGTTTGAAAAAAACACAAAATTTGGTGAAGAGTTACTTAAATATCACCACGAGCAGTATGTGGATAAGGTCCACACCAGACCAGACTTATATTTAAAGAGCAACGAAAATAAACATGCTCATGACAACAGGTTAAAAAGGAACATCCCCTTTGTGTATAGCAACGAAGTTCAAAATTTAGCAGCACTGAAAGGAAATCCACTCACCCTTGTAAATGTGAAGAACGAAAATGAGGAGTCCTTTGGTGTGGCCACGTTCAATCCCTATGCGCTAATTACGGCCAGGATAATAAGTACCAATGCGCTTTTTTCAGTTAACGTAAATTTTTTTGTGGAGCGAATGAAGAAAGCCTTGGCGTGGCGTTCCAAGGTGGTTGAGGGGGGAAAGCGTGCCAACTGGGGCGGAGGCCTCATCCAGAGTAATGAGACCACAGCTACCCCTCCCATAGGAGAGATTCCCCCAAATGAAAGTGGTCCCCCCCCTGAAGTACCACTCCTCCCCAGCGACACATCCTACAGACTGATCAATGGCGAAGGAGACAATATACCCGGACTCATCATTGATCGGTACCATGATTACGTCTCCATTCAACATTTAACTCTCGGAATGGAATTGCTCGCTGGAACCATTAACGAGGCAGTCATGGAAGTGTTAAATCCAAAGGCTATTATATTTCGGAATGACAATAAAGAAAGATTAAATGAAAAACTACATATTTACAAAAAACTTGTATACGGAAAATTACCTGAACAAGTCATGTTAACAGAAAATAATTGTTTTTTTTTTATAAATATGTTAAACTCACCAAACACAGGATGGTTTCACAACAGAAGACACTTAAGACAACTTATATCAGACTATGCATATGATAAAAAGGTACTAGACTTATTTTCCTATGTAGGATGTTTTGGGATACAGTGCTCAAAAAAAGGAAAGGCTAAAAAGGTGTTGTGTGTAGAAAAGGATAGCAAATTTACACAGCTAGCTAAAGAATCAGCTTACCTGAACAACCTCACAAATAAAAAAATTGAATTTGTTTGCTCCGATGCAATCACCTTTTTGCAAAACTCCAAAGAACTCTTCGATATTATTATTTTGGACCCCCCCAATTTAATTCCAACGTCAAAGTTTATCATGTCGGGTACTAAAAGATACATACAGCTTATTAACTTAGCCAAAAATTGTGTCTCCTCTAATGGCCTGCTGCTAATAATTTTCTCCACCAAATTGTGTTCCTATCAAGACCACATAAACATAATTAATGAGGCCTTTGTAGATTCGAATAGAACTGTTAAGATTGTTGGGCAAGGCCGTGCTTCCCCTGATCACCCCGCCAACTTGTCCCTCTACCTCTTCGCTGACTTCTACTGGTTCCTCCTCCAGATCAGCTACTGAAGGGGGGGGGGGGGCACAAGTGGGACACTTTTCCTACGTCCACTCACGGTTCTGACACTCCCCTTTCACATTTTCCCCTTCATGTGCAACGTTGCTAATGCGTCTTTGTTTTAGTTCCTCGTGTGAGCGTTTTGCGCTGGCCACGTGATTAGCGTGCCAACCTTAATTATTCTTGCCACATAAATTAGTGTTACAAAATTAATCACCCTACTAACAGCCCTTTTCTACGCTGTCCAACTATCTACCATATGGTTGAAACGAGTTGGGTGGACAAACCTAAAAAAAAGGCCACGCTGTCGTTCCCCCTTCTACAACTCCTCACAAGCAGGTATTGTTTAAGATCAAATTTGATGGAAAAAGGGGTAAGGAGAAGTTCGCCCCCATAAAAATAGCATTTTTTTTTTTTTTTTTCTTTCTTTCGCTTCTTCCAATTTTACACGTTACGAGTAGCGAAGGTGCCGGGTACATACACGAACGGATAATTCAACAAAGATCGGTCTTTTAAAAAAAAAAAAAAAAAAAAAAAAAA